GTATTTCCCGTGTTCACAGGAGTAATACTTCGTATTCCCCGTGTTCACAGTAGAATTACTTCGTATTTCGCGTGTTCACAGGAGTATAACTTCGTATTTCCCGTGTTCACGTGAGTATTACTTCGTATTTCCCGTGTTCACAGGAGTATCATTTCGTATTTCCCGTGTTCACAGGAGTATTACTTCGTATTTCGCGTGTTCACAGGAGTAATACTTCGTATTTCCCGTGTTCACAGGAGTATAACTTCGTATTTCATGTAATTACTTTAATGAACAGTGGTATAATCATAATTTGAACGTTTTTGTTTCTTTTGAATCGAATCTACAGACTTTAACGTAGTTCGATTAGAATAAACTTTGGCATACTGCCTAACCTTTCTCATCTAGATCTTTTGCGGCTTCGCCATCCTTGAGTTCTGACATATTAAGAATGCTCTTCATGTGATCTATCAGGGCCTGACCTCCCTTCTTCATCTTGACATTTACACGCTTTGTTCCGGTAACTATGACAGACAAAAATAATATACATTAGGTTTATCTAATAATGCCAATTTGCTTTCAATACGTATGAAATTGCTATTCGTCGAAACACAGTGGTCACATAATTTGTCAGTAACATGTGTTATACATCAATTCAGTAACTGATGTTAAAATTATTCTAAGACTTTCAATTTTGACAACAGATTTTAGCGCTCTGCACAAATAATCTATTCAAGGTTTCCTTAAAAACCGTTTTTATTTTTCTCTCAAAAGGTGATGTACGAGTTGTACTTATATGATATAATTATTACAATGCTGGCAATCAGTGCTTACGTGTATCAACGTCTAAATCGCTATCGTTAGCCAAGTCAGAAGACCGCGCGTCTGATCCAAATTCCGAAGCCCTTTTGGTAGGAATTTTCTTCTTTCCTTGAAAGATCTTGACATCATCGCCGAATTTTTCCTATAAGACATCATCGGTATGTAATAATTCACAGTGAACATCATTGAAACCAATATATCAAATAAAACTTCAAATCACTAAATTTACCTTTTTTTTTATTGTACATCCCTTTGTTTCCTGTAATCACTAAATTTTACTGATAATATTAATTTAGCTTGTCTCAATACTTTTCCCAGGTATTTGTATTTTTTATCTTCTCATCTCGCCTGTTGGCGATGGTCCGTTAAACGCAAACAAATTATCATCTCGTAAATGAACGCAAAATGTTCAATTCGTAAAAGTTCATTGATTTATAGTACAGCAACATTTAGAAGGACATATGGTAGTAAGAATCAGTTAAAATCAACCAAAGTAATTATAAGTGCTACCTACTTCATAAATCACCAGTTTTGGCTTAAAATATCAAAATTGAAATAGTGAGAGATTATTCAACCCTCATTTCAACTTTTATTTGTGTTTTACGTCATATTAATAGCGATAGTCATTTAGGGACGTGCCGGATTTTGGTGGTGGAGGAAAACCGGAGAAAACCACCGACCAGCGAGCAGACCCTTGCGATTGCCCCACGCAGGCCTTGAACCTGCAATCCAGCGGTGGAGAGCTAGAGGTAGCAGAATGTCAGACGCCTTAACAACTTGCCTGCCGCGGCCTCAATCATTGGCATTTACCTGGAGTTTTTTGGCGATTTCTTCTTTGGAAAGGTTAGGATCTATACCCAACTTCCGTAGGTCGTCAGCAGTCAGTTTGTCTATATCTATTTTCTTCTTTCCTTTCTTTAGACGTATCTTTCCGTCTGGTCCCACTTCAAATTGTTCTTCGTCCGAATCATCACCGTCCCCCTTTTTTCCTAACAAAATTTGAATAAGATCAGTAAGTTGAAAGGTTATTGCTGAGAGCATTCTTGTAATATAAAATAAAAATATCATCCCTTTATATGTGGTGAAGAGTAACATATTGTCATCAGTAACAGTAGCATGACACTACATTTCATAGAATATTTTTAATTACCGCATGCCGTTTTAATCAATTTTGATACACCTGAGATAGAATTCTGTTTTCTCTTTTTCATATTCAACTATTTAAAAAAGTGCGAAGCTGGATATTTTAATGAAATGGCGGTAATATTGGTAACGACACACACTGATTACACTGTACATTATACACACAAGGGAAATACATTTTAACCAGTTATCTCCCCTACCACGCTGGATCTGCGATAACTAACGATATCTACGATGTTTCCGTAGAATAATTTACGTTTGTATTTTATATTTCTTGTTAGTTTTACAAAATAACGTTTGAATATAGAAAATAGATCAACGCAATGGACAGCAAAAATGCTAACATAAACATCATCTGTAGCGTTCATGGTTACTGTGTTGGAAGACTGCTCGGACATAATGCGCCACTAAGCCTCAACTATGTCATAAATAAAATTAAAATAAAATAAATAAAAACAATATATGAAATATTATTCATTCCCCTTATACTGTTATAACTTACCTTTTTTGACGCCAACACCCTTTTTCTTCGTCATCTTGACATTTCCGTCCGAGTCTGAAATAAATCATTTTAAAGAAAATGTAGCTCATTTTAAAGATAATAGTTCAAATCTAAATATTCTCTTTATATTTGGCTTTGTATTACATAGTTTCGAACATAAGCATTCATTCGAACGAAAACGTTATATATAATAACCAAATTAACATATCACATATTAAAGCACGATAAACATAATCAATTGTTAAAGTGTGTACATACCATAATCGTATTCATAATCTGACCCTTCGTCTCCCTGTAAAAAGCATATTTATGTCAAATTTTATTTCAGAAATTTCAAATTTCGACTTAGATAGATGTTAGGATATTTATTTGTTAAACTATGACTATGTGTAAAACATAGTTTAATATATTTCTACTGAAATCCAAGAAAGAAAAAGCATATTACCCATTGGATATTAAAACTGTTTTTATTTGTGCGTTTATTTCATATTTCAATAACATGTGATAAATATCAATTCCATTCCTGAAAAGTTAAAACAATTCCATTTTGTTATATTACTTACAGCTTTGTGACCTTTTCTTGTTTTTCGAATTACTCGTCCTTTTTCGTCATACTCCTGAAAAGACAGATACACTTTTCAAAACACGTTAACGTTACCTCAGACATCTCTGTTTTCTTAAATAGTGCGTACTCAAATGTCACACTTACAGTAAATCAATTCCCCACCCTTCCACCATCGAAAAAGAACAAACATTATGATTTTCGTAATGTACAACGTCCTAGTGTACAAACTTAAAGTTACACACGTGTCAAATATGTAGCATGTTCAAAACAACACAATGGAGTCATAGTTACGCACAATAAGATGGCATCATATATACATGGCAAAGACTAACAGATAATATTCCCCTTGGATGTTTCCATTCGTAATATGACAAAAGCATATACTCACGTATTCGTACTCAGCTTCAGACCCAGTTCTCTTCTTCCGCTTTATTTTCTCACCCGTGATCGAGTCTATGGCTGACTCCCCTGTAAAAAGGAGAGATTCTTAAAATAATATAGTGTGGCTATTATTTTCAGTATCTGGAACATCTCATAAATTTTAAATGCGTAACGTGTAATTACATCAGTTGTTACGTCACAATGTATGTGATGTCATTGGTAAATGGTGACAGATTAAAAACATGTTTTTATTTGTTTTAATTGGTTCTATGAGCAATTTTCTTTAAGCATCGAAACATTATTTAGAATTCGAAATGATTCGAGAACTTTAATATAAGAGATGTGACAACCGAAAACATTATTAAACTTTGTTTATTGCTATTTATATATTCGAAGGATTTTACACTAGTTATTTATATTTAATTATATATATCTGGACTTGATATTGCAATATTCGTTTCTTTATGATTGAAGATGTTAAATCTACAAGAGATATACATGTATGTATGAAAATTTCACTGTTTACCTCATTAAACTTTCAGCATATGTTATGGAATTTCATTCACACATAATCAAAACACAATATATGAAAGAGTTCCCTCTTTGTATTTTCAATAATAGAAAAGTTATGCTTCAAATATTCAAGGAATCTATCATAAAGATATATAACAAAGATTTCTAAAACAGTAGTTTCACATCTGTATACTCTATAACGCTTTAATTAAAGAGGTCAAATTTTTGCAATTTTATTCTCCGAGTTTCAATTTCTCCCCGGAAAAAAATATTTTGCGTATTTTTTAAAATGCAAGTGATACAAATGTACCAAAAATTAATTTCCGCGAAATGTAAGCGCTAAGCAGTATGCCTTATTGTAAAATTGGTAAATTTAAAGTATATTCATATAACAAAATTAAAAATTAAAAACTGACTAATAAAAAAGAGGGAATGTTTGAAATAAATATATGTGTTACCTTTCATCCAAATATGTAGTCGTCTTTTTTTCAAAACAAAAGGCAGCAGCAAAAGCACAGGTAATAAGCATGGCTAAAGCGGACTCCAACACAAAGCAGCCGGTGTACGTGTCATACATTTACACAAAGCGGTCAGACGTTATATCAACATAAGCGTAATGCAAGCAGAAACAACGCGTTTACAAACAACTAAAAGCATCATGCATTGTATACTACCACATAGGCAACAACATCCAAGTTTGTAAACACACTAAATAGCTAATGAGTTAGGTAAGCAGGCCAAGCGTGATAATATCAATCAACACAAGCAATTCTACAAAACTACGTCATCATATACTACTAAACTTCACTCATTACACAATATCAAGTTGTAGTTTAAAAGTTTCCTTTTTAAATGTTAAGCTGCGAATTAAAGTCATACAACAACAAATACAAATAGAAAACAAAAATGCCATTAAAATCTGACACAGGACTGTTTAAAAATGGAGGAAAGCTGGTAGTGTCATTATAGGCACACCAAGCTAATACATTCAATACTATTTTAAGCGACAATAGTAGGATGCATAAGGACCATTAGGAGAAGCAATTAGAACTGAGTATTTTTTAAAAATGTAATAAGATATATAGTTTTCCTTACCACTGTCACTCTCATCATCAGCATCATTTCCATCTTTTCCTCCTTTCCGTCTTCCTTTACCACCTTTTTTATAATCCTCTGCCTTTCTTTTACCTTGTCTGAAGTGTATGTAGGACATTTATTACACACACAAATGTATATATTCTAAAGTGTAATGTATAGTTAAGATCCTGGATGAATCGGGGGAAAGGATATTACAACATTTAATAATTGGTTGGGGTAATAAAAAAGCAAATAAGCATTACTGCAAAAATCACTGAAAAAACTCAGACGGAGAAAAAATAAGAAAATAAAAAATTCAAAAAAAAGGTTTAAAATTAATTCAGAAATTATATATGTTGAATAGACATCCATGTGTTATCGCGCTTTCTTTATTTTTTCTTACTTGATGAGGTCACTAATACGTGCAGGTTCTCCGTCCGAGTCAAGCGTCCAGTCAGAAGAAGGACTTATTAAACCCCTTTCTCTCAACTCCTGAAGCTTCTTCCTCTTCTTTTGTTGTTCCACTTTTGCTCTACGCAACATCAAATTGAATACGTTGTGATTTTTTATAATATGATGAGTTTCAGTATGACTTGTTTTCTTGTCAAGTGGTAAAAGGTAGATAGGAAAACATGCATGACACAAAAACATTCAAGAAACTGAGAGTTATGTATGATACATTTTGACAACATTGGGTTGAGTTTAAAATTATGAAAGGAGTAACACAAAACACCAGGTTATGCAATCGATAACAAAATGTAAAACAAATAGTATCCAAATTGTCAAATGTCTTTACTATATCAATCATTATAATGTTCCTACTTTTCAGCCTTCCGCAAGGGCTCGCCTGTATCAGAGTCAATAGTCCAGTCGGAAGACGGACTTATGAGGCCTTTCTCCCGCAGTTCTTGGAGTCTCTTCGCCTTCATCTTCTCCTTGGCCTTGTATTTCTTATAGCTGTGTTACGTAATGGTATTTAATGAGATGTGTTTCATATATTTCGTGGTGGAAAATGTCATAAAAACAAAACAAGTGATAGTAGATCATTATATACGATGTCATATATTCCAAAACAAAGTTTTCGTAGCTTGTGTTCGTTGGTAATTTCTTTGAAAATTAACATTAGGTTATCTTATTCCGTCTTTGCGTATTGCAAAGTTATCTTCTCTTGTGAACGGGGATTGATTGTTACGTCATTGGTTTGTGTGAGAAAATTACGTCGTTTTCTCAAAAATGTATGACGTTACTCTCACAAACAAATGACGTAACATTCAATACCTGTTCACAAGAGAAGATAACTCTGCAATACGCAAAGACGGAATAAGCTTTGAGAGGTTGTAAAGTCTTCAGTGCACCTTGGAACATAAAAATAAAACAAAATATCCAGCTGGTAGTTATCAATTTTGATCTATATCCTTACTCGTGAGGAACTTTTCAAGAATAACTTGATCAATGAAAATATCATTAGATATCTTATCCTATTGTAATTAATTCAAATTTGTAAATAGTTATAATCTTATTAATGCATCACTAATAGAGCAATGATCATATTAATAAATTATTCCACAGAATTGTTTACAAATCAGCAAAAAATATAAGTAGAAAGAAAACTGAAATAAAAGTAAAAGCCGTTATTAATTTAGTTAATAAGTACACTGTATTTCTTCATCCTGTTAACTCAAGCAACTTTGATATGTGTATGTGCTGGAGAGCAATTTAGTCATGATATATAGAGAACCTGATTAAATGTATTTTATACAATAGGTCCATCAGGAAATAAGAGACTTCAAGTCAACAAAGCCAAAGATAAGAGCATGGTGACAGCAGTAGTAATATCAATTAGAAACATGTTAACACCTCAACCAAGCGCCCCATTAGATCTCCCGACTATAGTTTACATATGACGTGATTGAATTGGCACAGTTGTGATGATTTATAACGCATTACAATGAATAGAAAGGATCTCAGTGATTTAAAGAACATGCGAGTGAAGCATTTGAATTACTGCAGTGTACGACAGTGTCCCAAACATAACTAAAACAAGCCTGTGATTTGTTGTAAGGCGACACCTTTGAAATACTGCAAAATAGTCTTATTTAGTGACAGTGTATCCAACATATGTTCAGCCATGCATGTTATTTCTGGTGTGGAAAGATGGAAATGAGTAAACGCGAACAGAATAATATGTGAAACTCGGCCATGCACGGTGTGTTAGTGAAGCAGATTATCCCAGTTAATAAGCCATCTCATCTCAATCCAACAGCGTCTACATAACATGCCGACGGTGAGTTAGAAGCAATTCTAACACTCCACGTGTGGTTAAGAGAGAATATCAAATTTACTCTTGGTGCTTGCCGACCATTTCGTCGTATTTATCGCCGTATTTCTCCCTTCTCCTTTTCTCCCGGGCTTCTGCTCTTTCAGCTTTTCCCTTGAAGTAGGCTTTCTTCTCCTCCTCTGTCATATTCTCCAGATCAACGTCGTCGTCATCCGTCGTGCAATCGCTGAAAACTGGATCGACCTTCTTCTTGCCGCCCTTGCCCTTACCTCCTTTTCCTCCTTTACCTGGTTTTTCCTTCTTTACTTTTATCTTACCTCCTTTGCCATCCGATACAGTTGTATATACACTTTACGGAAGGAAAATATATTTATATTTCATTTGTGAAATTTCAGAATTTACGAATAGTACGCTGATTATATTTATAACATAACTCTATTGTTTAACTTTATGTGATAACTATGAACAAGTTAAATCATCAAATATTTAAAACGTCCTTTGTATGTTACTTCAAAAATTATCATTTCAATTTCCATGTTTGGTTTAATTATCAGCAAAGTTCATAAAAGTTCCTTACCTTTCATCATCTGAAAATATGATTAAAAGAAAGAAAAAAGATATTATCTCAATAAGTATGTTCAAACAACAGCAAAATTACGGTAAACCACACATTAAAGTAATAGCTTTTTTATCCTTAAACAGGCTAACTAGCATAACGTTTTAGCGACTTAGTTCGAGCAACAAATACAGATATTTTCAAAATGTCTAGCATAATACTATCATTAAGGCATATGACTTACCACTCGCGTAACTCTCAGAGGAAGCATAGCCTATCACATTGCCCTTGGCATCTCTGATTTTCTTTTTCCGTTTTCGCGTGCGCGTGCCACCAGCACTTACATCGCTGTCGTAACTGTAATCGCTATCAGCTCCGTGTACCTTCCCTTTCTTCTTCTTTTTCTTGTCGGCGAGTCTTCCTCCCTCTTTCCCACTATCAGAACTGTGATGGGACACACTACGACTGTAGGTACCGTCCCCTCGTCTCCGCCGACGCTTAACGTGTCGTGTACCGCCGTCACTGACGACACTATAGTAACTGTTGGCACTATCAGCTCCGTGTTTTCGTTCACGACGCCGTCGTCGCCTACGTGCCTGTCCAGCTTCGTCTTGGGAGCTGTGATATGACGCACTGTCACTATATGTGCCGTCCTCACGTTTGCGCCTGCGCCTCACATGACGTGTTCCGCCTGCGCTTACGACACTTTTATAACTGAATGCACTTCCTTCGCTGTCAGCATCCCGATTACCGGCCTTTCTTCTTCGTCTATCCTCCGGTGTCTCATCATCAGAATCATCGCCTCCTCCTTTCCCACCTTTTCCTTTCTTTCCCTTCTTTCCTTTTTGCATTGAGGCTATTCCACTGTCTACGTCAGATTCAATTTTCCTATCAAAACGATTCATGAAAAGAAGTGATTGCGAAAAGCCTGTATATTTGGGGGTTTTAAGAAAATATTAAGCAAATTCACCGAAGTTACCTCCCTTTACTTGTATGAATCATTATCAAAATCGATTCTTTTCAAATCAATCATTTTTCCTCTAGGTTCACATATTTTCTAAAATAATATTGCTACATCAAGAAAGCATACACTATAAAAAAATATTAATTTGTTCTAGAATATCAGTATAGCATTATCAAATAACCTTGCTTACTTTTTGTATTTTTTCCCTGTGAGTGGATCAACTATGATTTCATATACTGCTCCGTCTTTCCCAACGATTCTTTCACCAACTTTTGCTGTAAGACAAATTTAAGAAAATATTAAATGCATGTAAATTTACACATTTCAAATTATATAACGATAAGCAATTTTGAACACCAATTACAAAAGACATATGACAGGAGATCGGACATCGATATATATATGTGTATCTTGTTACCACAAATAACTGTGTTAATTACGTGTTTTCTTGTCAATTATATTCATATACATGTTTATCTATTGATATTAGTCTTTCTGTCTTTTCTTCGAAATTACCCATTTTCCTCGGATTGTATGATGTAAAAATGCATTATTTTAATGCTAACGTTATACCGGAAAAAGCAGTAACTAATTTTAATCGTGAAGATAGTCAGTTGTGCCCGCAACTTACCACATATCTTAACGACATACATAGTCAAACAGTAGCTGTCGCTCTATAAGTATTACCTCTTTGAATCATCTCCTGGTCAGACCCCCCTGAGTAGACAGTTGATGCTTTCTCCCACGAGTCGATGACCTCTCCCTTCTCCAGTTCTATAAACTTTTTAAGGAAGTTGGGATCCCCCCCGGACTCCACGAACTGTTTATACTCGTCCTCCGTCAGCATGACTATCTTTTCTATCAGTCGACCACTCTTCGTCCTCACATATGTCTTCACGACTTTCATGGCTGTAGGATCAGCCTTTGTCCATCCCTCAATTGTACCCTCATCTTCGCCCATGTATTTTTTCAAAATATCGTTTGGATCTCCGCCACCCTTCATCATTTTATCGTAATCATCAGCAGACACATATATCGTCTTTTCGATAATCCTTCCACTTTTTGTTCGAATTTTTGTTTTGATTGCCTTCATCGGCTCTGCACTTTTCCAAGATTCTAGCTGCTGTCCTTCCTCGAGGGTTATGTATTTCTTGAGAATATCATCTGGGTTTTTACCGTCCTTTATCATAGCATCATAGTCCTCCTGAGAAATCATTATAGTCTTTTCAATAATCCTTCCACTTTTAGTTCGAACGTAGGTTTTTATTGTCTTCATGGCAGCTTCCTTCCATCCTTCAATTACCTCACCGTCCTTCGCATACTTCTTCAAAAGGTCTTTGGCATCCACTTTTCCCGCCGTGATGGCGTCATAATCTTCTTTAGAAACATACACCAGTTTCTCAATAAGTCTACCACTCTTCGTTCGCACCATTGTTTTTATCGCTTTCACCTCATCTTTGTCCCAAGATTGCAGGCCCTTTGCCTCGTCTTTTGAAAGGTATTTTTTCAATAATTCCTCAACGTTCTTTCCTTCTTTGAAGGCTTCATAGTCCTCCTCAGACAGAAAAATGATCTTCTCTATAAGTCTTCCGCTTTTCGTACGTATGTATGTCTTGATCGCTTTCATTTCTGTTCAGAAATGGAGGAAAAGTTCATTGTATATATTGTTTTAGAACAAAAACATAGCATGCAAGTTAAGGAATAAGGCATGAAACCTGTACATACTAACGTGGATAAATGATATGTTCGCAGAGGAAACAGCTTTCTTACCTCTCCTTATCAATGGAAAATATTTTCTTTATGAATTAATTTTGTTTATGCTTAATACAGTTTGACGTTAATTGGGATAATTCAAGACTGATCTTAAGTTTATACAAGTTTAGCTTAAATGCATGTTAAGTAGTTTTCAATGTACTTACGTTTCTCTCTGATAGATTCCAACCTTTGTTTCATGATGAGTTCCCGTTGACGCTATAATGACACGAAACGTAATTAAAATGAAACAAATACCTTTTTACATTTAAACTTCAGTATATAAATGATATATTTGTAGTAACACTTGATAATGCTCCATTACTACGTGGCTCACTGTGTTTTCACACAGCACTAATTTCATGTGTACCAGAAATAGTATCTGTCATGAAATAAGGTTTCTACGGCATAGTGCTTTTGGCGTTAATAAATTGACGTATGCCATAGCCTCTAACATGTGATGGGTGTTCAAGACATGTCGTTGTTACTGCTAAAACCTAAATATACAATAAACGTGTCTTTCTTGTTATAATATACTATGAGTGTATATATATTTTTGTCATCGCCTTGGCTTACCTGTAATTCTAATTCCTCCAGTAGACATTTGACGTACCAGTAACCGTGGCGATATCCTCCGCCTACCCGGATGTACTTGTGCTATAACAACATGAAAGTATTTTAGAGTTACAGAGGTCACAGTTGTATATGTCAATTATACTTGGTTGATCCTTTGGTTTGTTCGATGACTGACTGGTGATGAATTGATGGATTTCGTTTTATTAATTGATTGGTTGATTCACTTTTTTATTCGTTCAGTCAATCATTGATATCTGTTAATTAATCGATTTGTTCAGTTTGATCGATGTTTTTAGATTGTTTGATTGATTGATTGAATGATCCATCAATTGATTGATTGATTGATTGATTGATTGGTTGATTGATTGATTGGTTGATTGATTGATTGATTGGTTGATTGATGGATGGATAATTTGATTGATTAATTGATTGATTGATTGATTTATTGATTAATTGATTGATTGATTGATTGATTGATTGATTGATTGATTGATTGATTGATTGATTGATTGATTGATCCATCGATCTACTTAGAGAAAAAAAACAAATTTATTATTCTGAATTAAAGTGTCGTTTGCGTGTTTCTTATCTTTTCTGACATAAATATCTCAGATTGTGAAAATATTAGTAGCGGATGGCTACTGAAAGAAGATAATCTTACATATCTTAAGTACTAAGGTTTTTGTAATTATGTGCTTATCTTATCCCTACGACGGTCAACTTACATAAGTTAGGCTTAATCAATTGTACAACAGTCGGATAAAAAGGGGAAACCACTAAACTATTCATATCAAAAAGTGTTATTACCGCCGTTTTTTCTCTGGCGCTGTGACGGGATAGACGAAGCTAGACCATTTAAAACGATATGCATCTATTATATTCAACCGACTAATGTGTTTCGGTATTGAAATTAGTAATTTACAACCGGTGTAAATGATTAAATAATGACCTTACATTCTACCATTGAAACTTTATCAATACACTGGTGAGTTTTACAAATTTATAAAAGAAACATGTATTCATGTCTATCGTGGTTTAAAGCATTATTTGGTCCATTTCTATAGGAATCAAATCTTATAAAATTTACTTTACTTACACAACTTGTTATCATACAAATATATGTCTGATATTATAATAACATATTGGTGTGTTTACACATGCACCACAGTCAAATGACAACTGTCCTCTAATAAAGCGTGTAATCGATTTGCAGGTTTAGAATTCCTTATAGGTTTTATATAACAGTTGCTTGTTTACATAACTTTTGCATTTGCTATTATCGTTTTAAATGACAGCCTTAAATGGCATATAATATCTGATAAGTAGATGACGTCCATTACAAAAGAGCATTTAAAGACATTGATAAGGCGCCTACTCTTCATGTCATTCTACAATCATTTATCAAAATGCAGGTGTTTTAATTTACTTATGAAATGAAAAAGATTCATTTTATCAACACCTTTTAAATGGATTTTATAGAAAGCACGTATTTTATTGTATAAAGGATGAGTTTGAATTCAAAAGAATAAAATTACCGCAATCTTTTCCATAGGTATTTAATGTAAACATGTCAATTTTAATTGGTATGATAACATGAATAATGGCTACCTCGATGTTTTATAAAACAAAAATATACATATATATCAGCAAACTTGTTCAACATGTATAAACAGTGATTAATAGAGTGTTTATTTACATTTATTATAATTACATGCAGATATACGAACTAATTTAAGCTTTTTACTATCGAAGTCCCAATATTGATATTTGTGAAAAAAACATATATCCATATTTTTTATTTGGATACATCCCTGTAATGTAAATTACACACTGCAGCTTTAAAACGAAAAACAATATTGATTGGAAATCACGTTAACCATCCGCTGTTGACCTGATCGGAGCCATTGATTAGATGTACATTAGCATTAAGTATTTTCGCACTTATTCGTGTGGGTGCCCGACAATGTATAATTGGAGTTCTATATTTACCGTTATGAATTTCTAGGAACTGAATGTGTTGCGCGCTTTGACAAGATGGTGGATCAGTATTGAAATTTCAACTGTACTTTTGTGCTAATTAGCATCGTTCAGAAATTCAAATTTCCCTTAAATATGCACAGAAAAATCGTTTTCGAATGTGTCAAATGGAATGAAATCGATCAGAAATTCATATTATTTGTTTGAACATGTAAATCTACTTTGTTGTAGTTGCCAAAGAACCACAGTTTGTGTTACATAATATTGATTATTTTTCAACCGTTTCGAGTGATGAATACGACATTTCAGCATAAACGTATTTGTCAATGATATTGCTCGCATGTTTTCAAATATAACATTGTAGAAAAACGTATCTTAACGGATCAATTAAAATATCTTATATGCCAACTAAGTAGTAAAATACTTAACATCTAGGTAAGAGAATAACTATTTACATTGGTATAATGCACTTATTCTTATATATCTGATACACAGTTTTCGATTTTCATTTAAGACTGCTATAAACAACATCTGCGTTTCTATAAAAAATATTCTTGATGTTTTACTTATTTTTTAATGATTTCTAATAAAAAAATTATTATGACTACATATACTCTGCAGCCATTCACTGCTCAACTCAAAATATGTTGAATTGATTTCCAGGTGAGAAAAAGACCAAAGTCCTTAATGAAAGTAAATTTCAGAACTGATGGTTTTCATATTATTATCTGTTTCTGAACAAAGAGCAGGCATTTATTTGACAAATTGGACAAAAAACGCCGTCTAGAAATATATAACACGTGTTGAAGTTATAGCGAGTATATTGTCGTGCAATGTGGGCCCTGGAAGGGTAACACTTGATTACAACAACTTCACACAGCAACATTTACCGGTGAACACGACAAAATAATGACATACTCACCGATTCACACTTTTTGTGTGGGACCTTCAGTAAACACTTCAGGCAGTCCTCTGTAGCAGTCTGTAAACACAAATACTCACGTCATTTTCATATCAAACGCAAAATCCATAAAACACTTTACCAGTTTCTTGTTTCGCGCGAGATATTTTATATTAAAATACAGGACAATTTTGAATTTCTGAAAATCATATTATCTACTAGAAGCAAAGATAATTTGTTCCTGTTATCAAGCCCTATCATCCGATTTTTCTCACGTGCTTAAGCTCGGAACCATATACTAGTATCCAATTCCATGACAACACTGATACCCCGTCCATTGAGGGTGTGGGGACTGTAGTTCTGAGAAAAGTTAAAATGATGGAGACACGAGGAATGTACCAAACAACATCCATTGTACCAAAAGTTAGAATGATGGAGACACGAGGTATGTACCATACAGCATACATTGTACCAAAATTTAAAATGATTGAGACACGAGGTTTGTACCAAACAACATACATTGTACCAAACATTGAAATGATGGAGACACGATGTATGTACCATACAGCATACAATGTACCAAAAGTTAAAATGATGGAGACACGAGGTATGTATAAAACAGCATACATTGTACCGTCAGTTAAAATGATGGAGACACGAGGTATGTACCAAACAGCATACATTGTACAAAAAGTTAAAATGATGGAGACTGGAGGTATGTACCAAACAGCATACATTGTATCAAAAGTTAAAATGATGGAGACACGAGGTATGTGCCAAACAGCATACATTGTACCAAAAGTTAAAATGAGTGAGACACGAGGTATGTACCAAACAGCAAACATTGTACCGTCAATTAAAATGATGGAGACATGAGGTATGTATAAAATTGTACAAAAAGTTAAAATGATGGAGACACGAGGCATGTACCAAACAACATAAATTGTAGCAAACATTGAAATGATGGAGACACGAGGAATGTACCAAACAGCATACATTGTACCGAAAGTTAAACTGATGGAGACACGAGGTATGTACCAAAGAGCATACATTGTACCAAAAGTTAAAATGAGTGAGACACGAGGTATGTACCAAACAGCATACTTTGTACCGAAAGTTAAAATGATGGAGATACGAGGTATGTACCATACAGAATACATTGTACCTAAAGTTAAAATGATGGAGACCCGAGGTATGTACCAAACAGCATACATTGTCCCAAAAGTTAAAATGATGGAGACACGATGTATGTATAAAACAGCATACATTGTACCGTCAGTTAAAATGATGGAGACACGAGGTATGTATAAAACAGCATACACTGCACCAAAAATTAAAATGATGGAGACACGAGGTATATACCAAACAACATAGATTGTAGCAAACATTGAAATGATGGAGACACGAGGTATGTACCGAACAGCATACCTTGTACCGAAAGTTAAAATGATGGAGACACGTGGTATGTGCCATACAACGGAGACACGAGGTATGTACCAAACAGCTTACACTGTACCAAAAGTTAAAAAGATGGAGACACGAGGTATGTATAAAACAGCATACACTGTACCAAAAATTAAAATGATGGAGAGACGAGGTATGTACCAAACAACATAGATTGTAGCAAACATTAAAATGATGGAGACACGAGGTATGGACCAAACAACATAGATTGTAGCAAACATTAAAATGATGGAGACACGAGGTATGGACCAAACAACATAGATTGTAGCAAACATTAAAATGATGGAGACACGAGGTATGTACAATACATCATACATTGTACCAAAAGTTAAAATGATTGAGACTGGAGGTATGTACCAAACAGCATACATTGAACCGTCAATTAAAATGATGGAGACATGAGGTATGTATAAAATTGTACAAAAAGTTAAAATGATGGAGACACGAGGGATGTACCAAACAGCATACATTGTACCGAAAGTTAGAATGATGGAGACACGAGGTATGTGTCATACAACACACATTGTACCAAAAGTTAAAATGATGGAGTCACGAGGTATGTACCAAACAGCATACATTGTCCCTAAAGTTAAAATGAGTGAGACACGAGGTATGTACCAAACAGCAAACATTGTACAAAAAGTTAAAATGATGGAGACTGGAGGGATGTACCAAACAGCATACATTGTACCTAAAGTTAAAATGATGGAGACCCGAGGTATGTACCAAACAGCATACATTTTACCAAAAGTTAAAATGATGTAGACACGAGGTATGTACCAAACAGCCTACATTGTACCGAAAGTTAAAATGATGGAAACCGGAGGTATGTACCATACAGCATACATTGTCCCTAAAGTTAAAATGATGGAGACACGAGGTATGTACAATACATCATACATTGTACCAAAAGTTAAAATGAGTGAGACACGAGGTATGTACCAAACAGCATACCGAGGTATGTACCATACAGCATACATTGTCCCTAAAGTTAAAATGATGGAGACACGAGGTAAGTACCAAACAGCATACATTGTACCAAAAGGTAAAATGATGGAGACACGAGGGATGTACCAAACAGCATACATTGTACCGAAAGTTAAACTGATGGAGACACGAGGTATGTACCAAAGAGCATACATTGTACCAAAAGTTAAAATGAGTGAGACACGAGGTATGTACCAAACAGCATGCATTGTACCGTCAATTAAAATGATGGAGACATGAGGTATGTATAAAACAGCATACACTGTACCAAAAATTAAAATGATGGAGACACGAGGTATGTACCAAACAACATAGATTGTAGCAAACATTGAAATGATGGAGACACGAGGTATGTACCAAACCGCATACAATGTACCAAAAGTTAAAATGATGGAGACTGGAGGAATGTACAATACATCATACATTGTACCAAAAGTTAAAATGATGGAAACTGGAGGAATGTACCATACAGCATACATTGTACCAAAAGTTAAAATGAGGGAGACACGAGGTATGTACCAAACAGCGTACATTGTACCAAAAGTTAAAATGATTGAGACTGGAGGTATGTACCAAACAGCATACATTGTACCGAAAGTTAAAATGATGGAGACACGAGGTATGTACCAAACAGCATACATTGTACCAAAAGTTAAAATGATGGAGACTGGAGGTATGTACAATACATCATACATTGTACCAAAAGTTAAAATGATGGAGACACGAGGTATGTACCAAACAGCATACAATGTACCAAAAGTTAAAATGATGGAAACTGGAGGTATGTACAAAACAGCATACATTGTACTGAAAGTTAAAATGATGGAGACACGTGGTATGTGCCATACAACATACATTGTACCAAAAGTTAAAATGATGGAGTCACGAGGTACGTACCAAACAACATACATTGTACCGTTAGTTAAAATGATGGCCACACGAGGTATGTATCAAACAGCACACCTTGTACCAAAAGTTAAAATGATTGAGACACGAGGTATGTATCAAACAGCATCCATTGTACCGAAAGTGTAGATGATGGAGAAACGAGGTACGTACCAAACAGCATACACTGTACCGAAAGTTTAAAGGATGGATAAACGAGATATGTACCAAACAGCATACAATGTACCAAAAGTTAAAATGATTGAGACACGAGGTATGTACCAAACAGCATACATTGTACTGAAAGTTAAAATGATGGAGACACGTGGTATGTGCCAAACAACATACATTGTACCAAAAGTTAAAATGATGGAGTCACGAGGTATGTACCAAACAGCATACATTGTACCGTGAGTTAAAATGATGGAGACACGAGGTATGTACCATACAACATACATTGTACCAAAATTTAAAATGATGGAGACACGAGGTATGTACCAAACGGCATACATTGTACCGTCAATTAAAATGATGGAGACATGAGGTATGTATAAAACAGCATGGTATGTACCAACCAACATACACTGTACCAAAAGTTTAAATGATGGAGACACGAGGTATGTACCAAACAGCATACATTGTACCGAAAGTTTAAATGATGGAGAAACGAGGTATGTACCAAACAGCATACATTGTACCGAAAGTTAAAATGATGGAGACACGAGGTATGTACCGAACAGCATACATTGTACCAAACGTTGAAATGATGGAGACTGGAAATATGTGCCACAGTTATTAATAATTAGAAACCGGAAGAATAAACCATTAGTAGAAATAATATAAACCGGAAGTACATACCTTTGGTAGAAATGGTGAGTTTGCGCTCAGTCTCTGTCTCAAGTCAGGGGTGCTCCTGTACTTAGCCGAGTACCTTGATCTAACATCATTAGTGACATGTTGAGTCTGCAAGGATATCATTAACGACCATTAAAAACTAAATCTGAGGAAAAAACAATTTCGCCAGTCGAATGATAGGAAAACTAGGTCATGTTAATAAGCATACTAGTTGGATCAAACACTGTAAATAATTTTATTTTTCTTAGAGATATTTATCTTTGTGTAACCTTTCAATGGGGGGAGGTACAACTGAAATACACTTCAAGGAAGATACCTGTATACGTTTTATTGTTCCTCTTTGTATATGCATACGTTATGATGTCGTTTACAGTACACTTTACCAATCTTTATGCCAAACATAGGAACTCTCTTAACTCGAATACTCGGATAACTCGAAGTTTCCCAAGGATCCCGTCGACTTCGAGATAACGAGGTTCGACTGTATATAACAGACCAATAGTCATTTTATGAGACGTTTGCTTCAGGCAAGTAAATTGCTCTGAATGGACAAAAAATGATTTCATAATCTCTGTCTTATAAAATAGAAAAACTCGTTGTATTTTTTCAAACATCTCAAAATATTTCGGGTTTGAGGGATGTGTTATTTGATACCACAATTAGTGAATCACATTAAAATATCGCGAATTGAAAGTAAAGGCATTAGCTCTGTAAATATAAAATATACATGCCTCCTGTAATTTAAATTTGGATACTTTATATCGTTTTAACTATTTTCAAATACTGTTTGGCAATGTGGCAATTACCGAAGACGTTTAAACACGGTTGGTGTACAAACTGTGCACATGTGTCTTAAATCGGGCGATCAGTATATTAAGGCATAATCATGAATAAAATTCTGTATTCAAATTAAATTTTGGATTGTTCGGAAGCCATGAAACGATAATGTTAAGATTTGGCAGCAAAATATGTTGATTGTGACTATGAAAAGAATCGTTCAGCAGTGAGCTCTTTAAATGTAAATCTGCAGTAACCAATCTGGCATGGGAAACAACGTGTTTACGGTCGGTATAAATCCCTTCAAAACAAGCGAGGTTAACTCGAAGTCAATACCAAAAAAGACAAATCATATATCAAGATATTTCTTTGTGTTCCACAACAGTTTTATAAGTTGAATCTGGGTCCATTAGTTGAAGAATTATTTATGATATTTGACAAGTAATCAACATGTCAAACCAAGAGAGCAATGTCCAGTTCACAAACTTGATCCTATGCTTCAGAAGATTGCAAGGTCATTCAATGATAACGTCTAATTTGTTTGAAACCCGTATTTAGTTCAAGTGGCGAGGTATATGTCTCTTCACATAACTAACAACCACTGATATAAGTAATATATTTGGAACTTGTCAAACTTATTTTTCATATTTCAAGTTGGTTATATTCATGCGTTTCCTCTTTTTCAGCTCCATATTCAACAGTAAGTTTTGTCTGACCTTAAGAATCCTAATACCTACATGTCCTTAAGTTACAATAATACTTTACATTCTTCACCATCAGTTTTATTCCCTGCAAAGATCAGAGAAAGAATTCCCCTCCTACATATATACATGTTCGAAGAAAGAGACTCACGCACGAAGGAGATACCCTTAAATCGCAATAAGCCGCGGTTTATTTTCATTTTCAAAAAGGAATTCCAAGCTTATTTTCAAAGCTGACTTATATTCAAGGCAGTCTTATTTTCGAAGTCATTTAGACAGTAGGCTTATTTTTCAAGTTCTTCCTATTTGTACATGGAATAAACTTATAAAATCATAAGGGCTTTTAGTGATGTTCTCCCCTTTTATCGTTGTACTAATAAATCATGCAATGTGTTGGCTGGCTACCTGTGAAACCTCTTTAGAACATGGAAAATGTGGTTCATACTTGGAACCCATGGCATATTTTAAATAACAGCCTATTCTCAAAGACGGCTTATTTTAGAGATATGTTGGACTGCGAGGAATTCAGTGCTTGCTTTTATGTCCGGCCGATTTTCAAGGCAGACCTATTATCTAGATTTATGGGTGTTGAATAAACAAAAATGGTCTACATCAACCACTGTTATATATTATTATCTTCTTATGTTCAATTTTACTTTATTTGATACCCATTTTCTTTAACATGACCATTATGACATTTTATACGTTTTTATTATATGCAGTTGTACTTCAGGATTGACTAAATAAGTCAATAGCTTGATTTATTAATGACCCAAATCCAATCACAAATCAGGATAATAAGGCCTAAAGGTCCAAAGATAAATGAAATAAACGATCATCAAATTCGAAGATACAGAAAATATCAAAAGAAATATAATGTATATAGTTTCTTTCTATGTTTTATGCAAACAACCCTTCAACATTTATTTATAACCTTTTGTTAAAGAGCTATTTATATATTTGCGTTTTGGTGATAAACACTTGCCGATTTGTCCCCCAGAATATCCATGGCGGTGAGAGACAATGACACTTTGTCACGGAAACCCCAGGTAGGTGCTGACCGTGGTAGTGAGGTGATTGGAGGGAGGTCGTCATTTAGCAAGTCCGGGGTTCGAATCCCCCCTCTTCTAACGCACGGCATAGTTCCTTGTCTTTTGCTTATATGTACACGTATTTCCATTACGAAGATTTCTATATTTCACATCCTATGTGAACATTTTATCCTGATACACACCTCTACAAATCTCCAATCGATAAGTAGTTCATATTTGCAATCACAGACCGCTAAATCCCTTCAGACTTCACAGTCAGATATAGGTTTGATAATCAACACGTATGTTAAGCACATCCCTAGCATATGTCCAACAGTATATTCCGTTAACTAAACACACATGGCACTTCTGTGATCATGAAACTCGATTTCACGGGATTCTGTCACCACAAATGGTCACATGCCCGACTATCACTACAGCAAAATGGCGTGTGTTTGTCACAGTTTTCAGCGGTTAATGCGATCTTGAAATCCTATCTCTGTTACCGAGTTTCGCCTCTAATTATACGTTTAACCCAATTGAATAGACTGAAAAACATCATAAGGCAGGGCATTATACCCGCCAAGTCAACGGGATATGTATAGTGTAGCCCCATATAGCACTCTCTGGAATACACACTGTCAAACGGTTAAAGCCGCCAGTACTTTGTGATTAGGTAATTGAGCGTTTAACGTTGTTAATTTCGTTATGTCAATAAAGACACACAAAGGTAAAGCTTTACAAAAATGATTGATCATTTGTGATTTTACATCAGTACTGACAATAGGGATAATACATAGACATGCGACTATCGGTCAATCGTCTCCTCCCAGGGACGTGTCACCATTGTCGTGATTGTCACCACCATCTTCTCATACCATCACTGAGTAAAGGCCTGGCTCAGGAAGGGAAACAGCTAATTGTTTTTCGTTTCATGTCTTTATTGTAGTATTTGTAGCATTCATGGGACTGGAGACATCAAGGGACATTTACCTTTGCCTATACAGCCTGCGTGTGGGGAAAAATTACAACTGTTTCGATTGGACATATGTCTGTATAAACATGTTATTTTATAGACAACCCTGCTCCATGGACCGCCTCAACAAACAGACCACCTCTGTAAAGCGACCATTTGTTTGAAACTCCCCTTTTGCAGACTTTTTATGCTCAGTGAATATGTATCAAGAGACCAACTAAAATATAGATTTTCAGATGATGGACTCCGAATACAAATTTAAACGTATTTGAAAAACAGAAGTTTTATTTTCATCGATAAATTGTTGTTCTCTTTATAAAGTAAGTCATTATTTGAGGTAATCTCTTTCATTAAGTGTTTCTTACATACAGGTGTTATATACAATATACATATAGATGATATCAATAAACATACTGGTTTGAGGAATTAATTGGCACGCTGTAGTCGACTGCATGATCTATGGGACGACTGATTTTGAGACTATAGACTTTGTTCTCTATAAACAGATGACTGCCATAGACAAATTCTACCTATAAATAAGTGGTCGTTATAGACAATGGATCGGTATAAATAGGTTGTCGTATACAATTGATCGATATAAATAAGTGGTTGTTTATATACAGAAGGCCAATGTAAATCGGTGGTCGTTTTAGGAAGGTGGTTGATCTAAATAGGTGGTCGTGATAGACGAGTGGTCGATATTCATATATGTTCATTAAATACAAGACATTGATATATAAATGTTCGTTAAAAACAAGTGGTCGATATAAAATGTGTTCGTTATATATTATATACAAGTGGTCGATAAAATGTGTGTTCGTTATATACAAGTGGTCGATATAAATAGGTTGTCGTTATATATATATACAAATAGTCGATATAAGTAGAAGAGCAGTAAGATTTGATCAACACTAAAAGGGGGATGACATTTGATGAGTGTTTTGATAAAGGTATATAAAACACCAATGTTTCAATAACATCCCGGTTTTTGAATGTAGCACATAGCGACACCGGAAGCAGTATTATATGGACAGGAATGATTCCATTAAAACGACTCCTTACTCATACCCTACAATTCTTTACATATAACTATGCGAAACTGTAAATTGATATGATTGTCTATGAATAGATCTATTTATAGTATATCACTATGACCGACAATCCCGAACCACGATGACTACACAATTGTATGAAATATTTGTTACTGTGTGACCAACCACGCTCTGTTTAAATAGTTTATATAGCGGTGTCTTGTATCATATGGATGGATAGATAATACATGATACATTTAATTACATTTCATTTATAAATATGACTTTAGCACTGATTAACTACCATTCTATGTTGACTGGTCCTTTCACAATTGTATATTTGATATATGATTACCAGTTATAGTGAACACACAAAAGTTAGAAAGGTGATACCTTGGTCTATATATTAATGGTCACGAATACGTTCGTACATGATGTCAAGATCGACTTTAAAAAATGGAAGATAATTCGATGTGTTGTGTGTGTTGATATGTTAGGTGATAGAAACATGTTGAAGGGTCTTAAGTACAAGTTACTACAAGTATCTTAATCGATGTGATGGTTTTAGCAGTAAGGATGTCTTATATGTAAT